TAACGCCTCCACGGCTGAAAGGGCGAGTAGGTTTAGTGGGACGGGGATTCGAACCTGCGACCCGCAGATTGCCGGGCTCTCTCTCTCTCTATGAGTGTTAAGACATAGTAAAAACACTTGTATAGGAAAATATAATGCAGAAGTTTTTGTGTCCAGGTAAAATTCAGCACTAAAATGGTAAGGTGCGTGCAAATAATAATATAATTTCAAAGACGGTAAAATCTGAAAATTTAACAGATGGCGACACTTAAGTACTATGAGCTAAAAGTTAATTAGCTGAAAAATATTCATCATAAACACCACCTTTCACCTTTAATGATAATTAAAAGGTTAAACTATTCATCGTCGCTAAGGAGTGAACATTTTAATCAAGAGGATAAAATATTCATATTCACAGAACGCAATGTTTAATATATTTCTGTTTAATCCGAAAAGAAACTAGAACGAGTTTACTTTTAAGTGGTTTTTAAAACAAACGACTGCTCTAAACATAGGATTTACAACAGACCTGTAGTGGGCCAGGTCGTCTTTGTTCCCAATCAGAGCCATTGGTGGCTGCCCTTCTTCACCAAAATCTTCGTTAAGAAGTTTTAAAAGTTCCCGCGCTTTTACGAAGCTACGTTTGTCAGTAATCGAATAGACGATGACATAACCATCTGCACCCTCAAGAAGTCCCTTCGATTTGAGTGACGTAAAAGATTCCTAATAAAGAGGATAAAATGTAGCAGTCAGATCTGTATATACCTTGTGAACACTGATGCTTTTATTATCTAAAATAAAAAATGGCGCAATAATAATAATAAAACTATTGAAAATATCGTTTAGATAAAATATTATATTATATGATATAATATATAATTAATTAATAAATAGATATATAATATAATATATAATTAATAAATACATAAATAAATAATATTATATTATATGATATAATTAATTAATAAATAGATATATAATATAATATATAATTAATAAATACATAAATAAATAATATTATATTATATGATATAATATAAAATATTATATTATTATATTATAAATATTATTTATAATAGTTAGATGTCAGTCATTCACTTCATCAGATATAACTTCAAACTACTATGGAGTTAATTATTAGGGCGACTAATGCTTTGATAATTATTCTTCTGTGTTTATATTCAAAGGCAAGCTTTGCAGTTTTGCTTTATGTATATGATTAGTATTGTTTGGAATTAAACAATTCCTAGAAAGTTAACTCACAAATCTTTGTTTTCGTCTACTTGACGAAAACATAAAACAACATGCGTAGATTTATAGTGTAATAAAAGGCGCACATTTTTGATCCAAGCTTTGTTTTGGTTCCAGTTCTATATTGAAAAAAGACCGTTTACAACGCATGGCTTCACTAACTTCATTGTACAAAAAATTCAGTCACTCAACCAATAATGACTTTTAATAAATATTAGCTCTATGTTTTTTGCGAGAGATGATTTCTCTTTCGGAAACTTCATTATTGTACATCATATGAAACATATTAGAATCCATTCGAAAAGTTGAAAACTTGATATGCCAGTGAGCATTTTATACGTTGCAAGGTCTTTTCATGTCGGAAGTCTTTTCATATTTCCTTTTTTTTTTCAGTATTAGATTATTTTGTGGCTGAGACCTTCTTTTTATTTTGTAAAATTAGATTATTTGTTTTATGTACAAAGCTGCATAATTGACTCTCTGCGTTATGCCCACCACAGAAAACGAGCCAGAAATATTACACGCTCACGAGCTCACCGATGACTTACAACAGGCATTATTAGATTCACGAATATTTTGTAATTCCTATATAGAATTCAATTGAATTTTATTCTCGTAATAAATGTCTTGAATCAATAGCAACGATCAATCAAGAAACATAAAAATAACAAAATGAAAAATAATAAATATATAAAAGTAAATATTAAAAAGAAGTAAAACTTAAATGACAACCAACTGTCAGTAATTACATTCAGTTTCATTTTTTAAACAATTTATGTTAAAACAAGAATTTTTACATTTTAACGCTTAATTAATACATATTTTTTATTTTACTTCTCTTGAGTTAATTGTAATTGTTTGTAATTAAGCACAAAGCTACACAAGGGTCTATCTGTGCTCTGACCACCACGGGTATCGAAACTCGGATTCTAGCATTGGAAGTGTGGGCACATTTCTCGAGTGAATTTGTTTTCTTATTCTATATTTTGGCTACTATGTATCTTATTGATCGTTGGTTTATTAGTTTCCTGAATAGCGGTATGTGTAAATCTCTGTTAAACCTAATATCATAGCTATAAATTTCTTTATTTTTGAATAGATCTTGTAAACTAGGTAAATTGATCAATTCATTTTTACAATATACATAACACATGCACCTAACTTTGTTAAAAACGTGGAGGGTGGGATGTAAGGAAGAACTAGCGAGCGAAAAAAGCAAAAAAAGTGGTTGCTGAAACTATTCAAAGTGGGGTGGCACTTGCCCCTTCTGCCCACCCACCTCCACTAGTTAGGCGCCTATTACACATGAAAGTACTCATTAAGTACCTATTTATTTCATGAATATGTAATATTTTGATTTTTTGAAACAAATGGTAAAGAGAACCTTGATAATTTAACCCCAAAATTAATATTACAATTCGTTTTTTCAAGTACAGTAAATAATTTATATTATGTTTGGAAGAACCTCTTCATGAAATATTAGCATTTACTAAGTGTGGATAAGTAAAACTGTAAATAAAATGTATCAAATATTCATTATTAACTTATTTTTATTCTGTTTATTATATACAATACATTTGTCCATTCAGTTTCATTTATCACCAGTTGTTATACTCAAACATTAGCCGTAGTCCATTCATATATATATATATATATATATATATATATTGTCACTATATTATTGTATACTATTTTATAATTTCACGCAAAGCTAAACGAGGGCTATCTGCGCTAGCTGTCCCTAATTTAGCAG